GGCCGGGGGGGTGGGGGGGGGGGGGGGGGGGGGGGGGGGGGGGGGGGGGGGTTGGGGACACTTTGGTGGTCACAGGTGAGATATCCCATGGAGGCAATATACCGGCAATGCTGCCCGTGTGCAGCTGTCTCCCAAACCTCAGCGCTGTCAGAACCTCCTGATGTGGGATGGGGGGGTGTGCAGTAGCTGACAGCCAGGAAGAGGAGACTCTGACACCCCCGGATCCTCTCAGTGGACGGACGGAACATTTAAAGGACAGTTTCACTATCAGTGGATGTCTCACCTGCCGTCTTGGTACTTTGTCACGATCACACGGCTGGAAACAATGTAACACTGTAATGGAGCGCTGAGAGTCAATGTGTCTTTATTCTCCACAGAAATGTATGAATGAGAGGATCACAACCCCGGATGACAGCAACCCTTGGTGGAAAGCGTTCAGCGACCCCTGCAAGGAGCTGTGAGTAGAAAGATCAGAGAGCCCCACAAACTGCATTTCATTCCCTTATTGGTGGACTTATAAACAATTCGCACAGCCATGCGTCCTCCGAAATTCCATGCACATTCGTTCTGTGTGAACAGGGCAGCCATCAGGGGGGTACAGCCGATACTCATGTAAGGGGCCTGGGCAGCCCCGCCCGGGTCCCTTATATGACTAACGGCCGACGGTGAAGGGCGAGGAGGCGGAGGCCTGGCCCTAGCAGGGGCCTCATCAGCGACGCTGCTCGTCTGATGTCGGACTGGCCGGAAGTGACGTCACCGGTCTGGCGGCAGACGAGGCCACGTGTGCAGGTAAGAGTTGCTAGGAAGGAAGGAAGGAAAGGAGGGATGCAGCCCTGACCAGCCCACCTGAGACCCCTTCAGAGCCCACGATAGACAGTCTCAGATGGGCTGTGCAGCATCTATGGTGGGCTCTGCAGGGTCACTCTCAGGTGGGTGGGGGGCCCGGCCTAAAGCCGTGTAAGTGGCCCCAACATTTCTGATGGCTGCCCTTTGTGTGAATAGGAGGCAATAAATGAAGGTTGGTATATTTTCCTTCCAGGTCGCATATTATATCAGCTATGGCCACTAGATGGCACTGAGGAGCATAGAAAAGTATTTATTTCCTTAGCTCCATCTAGTGGCCATAATGTGGCATTACGTTAGATTACATTCGACCTGGAAGGACAATATTTGGCTCCTCGTTTTGGCTCCGTCCCTGCGGAACAAATGTACATGCAATTTTTGGTTTATAAATACACCCCCACCAGAGTGTACATCTACCCTAAGCAGCTCACAGAATATATAAAAGGATGAGAGCGCCCCCAGTCTAGAACAAGTCCAGTAAAAGATTTTTTTATTTGTCACTGCAAGAGGTCGGAAGATACAACCAGCACGTTTTCAGGGGCTCGGAAACCCCTCTTCATCGGGGGCATATGCGCTGGCAGTGATTGATAGTTGGAGATGATACCGGGCAGGTAATTGTAGGGAATGAAGGTTTCCTGTCTGCAGCACCTGATATGTCTGACAGGGAAAAAAAAAACCTTTTACATAACCGCACAAAGAATGCACCGGAAGGGAAGGGAGGAAGGGAGGAGATGATACTGTGCCAATACTTATTCATATTCCTATGAGCAGAGAGAGGTGACACCGGATGCTGCAAAGCGGCACAAATGAAAGCCGGTGTCACTCTGCTGAGAGAATAGGCGACAGTATTTGTATTGAGCGGAGTTCAGTCTGAAATCCTTGATTCCGATGCTTTGATTTTTAGGGGTTTGAAGCTGAAGCCGGAGATCTTTCCCGCGGCCACTGACAGCCGTTACGTTCGGACGGTGAGTACAGAGGAAGCGTCTCCTTTGCTTAAAGAAGAACTCCGGGCATAACCAGCCTGTCTGCTCTACCGCAGCAAGGATGGTATGTCCCTTGGTATCCTCACATCCAATACACTGAATAGGACGTGATGACTCCGGGACCATAGACCGATGGAACGGAGGGGGAGCCAGGCAGCAGGGAGCGCTCTAACAGCCGGCCGGCTCCTAGTTTCAGGTGAGTATAACTTTTTTATTTTCCTCCCTAGATGAAAACAAGCACTTAACCCTCGAGGTGCGGGGGTAGCCCTACTGCAAGGGTTAATAATAATGATGCCCGGAGTTCTTCTTTACAGTGGCTGAATGCCGGGTCACCCTCGTTATGGGTCTCATCACGGGTGTATTGTAAAGCTGCCTTACACACGGTCCGGACCAGCAATGGCTTCGCCCATCATCAAGATGTGACACACCGGCATCCAGCCCATTCTACCTGGGAGGCGGCTCGCACCTCATGCCGCCTCCTGTTCTTTTTATCACCTCTCCTCCTCATTGTGTTTCTCATCTCATCTGCAAGATGGCCGCCTCCTAAGTCATGCGACACTAACCCCGCCCTCTTTGCTCCCCCCTCTACCCAGGCCGGTTACAATGCCCTCGGCTTCTCCCCCATGAACAACACCCCCATCTTGCTGCACGATCACAATGAGTATCTGAACGAGGGCGTCTTCCTGCGCGGGATCGAGATCTATAAACGCATCATCCCGTCTCTGGCCGCCGTCGCCCCGCTGGACGGGGAACAGGAACACTAGAGGATGCGGGGCCGACCGTGATTGGGCACCGACTGGGGGGGACGATGTCTACAACAAAATGGCCGCACTCAGGGACTGATGTCCAACTCCCGAGGACACGA